ACTACCTACCTCAGAGAAAGAGGGAAAAAATGATAAACACATAAATAAGCTTAAAACAAGAACGCATATACAACTAAGCCTACAAAGGGGCATAAAATATCTGTGACAAGAACACCAAGATCCGAAATGTGACACTTGTTCAAAAGTACCTAAGGTTGGGACCAGCAGTTGGCATAATGGCTATGTCACTGGACTCCCATGTAGTTGACCGCGGATCGAGTCCAGGACCTGGTGGCTTAAACTCACGACAAGAGCGTGTACGTGCATGCCCAAGATCCCGAGAGAAGGATGGAGAAGGGACTGCGGCATGTACAACCCCCTGGGGGTGATTTCTCGCTTTCTGTATGTCTCTTTCTGACAAGCGCATGCGCCCTATAGCAAAAACCTCTCCAAATAAATAAATAAATAATAAATAAAATTTTAAAAAGTACCTAGGGTTTTATGGAACCAGCAGAAGGCCTAATGGCTACATCACTGGACTCTCATGTAGTAGACCACAATTAGAGTCCCGGACCTAGGGGTGGGGGGGTGATTTCTCGCTTTCTGTGTCTCTGTTTCTCTCTGTCTTTCTAGCTAGTGCACATGCCCTATAGCAAAAAAAAAATCTCAAAAAAAAGGTACCCAGGGTTTTAAATCTATCTTTTGCAAGAACAGAAAGACTTCTCACATTTTGAAATTTACTTCTACCATTGTTTGACTGCCTCTCCCACTAGGCTGTAAGCCCCATGAAGACAGGCAGTATGTCTTTTGCATTAGCTCAACATCTGACATGATATAACCATTCAAATATTTGTTGGATTCTTTTTTGAGAGGTTTTTGCTACAGGGTGCATGCACTCGCCAGAAAGGCAGAGACAGACAGTGAGACAGAAAGTGAGAAATCCCCCATGGGAGATGTCCACGCCACAATCCCTTCTCCTCTCGGGATCTTGGGCACACACGCACTCGCGCCCAGTGTAAGATTAAACCACAGGGTCCAGGACACAAACCGTGGTCAACTACATGGGAGTCCATTGACATAGCCATTACGCCCACTGCTGGTCCAAGATTTTTTTTTTTTAATTTAAAGACAAAAAGACCTGCAAACAAAACCCACTGACATGTCTATTTAAAACTTACACAAATGGGACAGCAGTGCAGTGGTAAAACATCATGTTCTGCAAAGCTGACCCACATGGGAAAGTTCATATCCAGAAATGTTCCCGAGCAAGACAGGTACAGGTATACCCATGGTCCAAGGTTGAGTGGAGCTAGAAGCGCACTGTAACATCAAAACTCTTGTTCAGGAGCCAGCAGGTGGTATGGTGATTGAGATGCTGGACTCCCACATGGTCGACCACAGTCTGAGTCCCAGACCAGGCAGCTCGTTCGCTCTTTCTCTTTCTCTCTCTTGCTCCTCTCTCTGGTGAGTGCATACACACTATAGCAAATTTTAAAAATAAATAAATAATCCTTTAATGAAAAAACTCTGAGGTGTTAGAATCTCTCTGTCTCCCTGACTCTCTTACCAGTGATAAAAGTAAATAAGCTTTTCATTTTCACAATCAATATAGACATATTTACATAGTAATAACAACCACAAAAGTTACCACTCACTGAGGGCCTACTCACTACTGTATGCTGGGCACTGAATTGGGGATTTCAGATGTTTAATTCCCACAACCATGGGCTGCACTTTACTGGTAAGGAAAGCAACGCTCCAAGAGCTTTGCCTGTCTACAGTTATAGGCAGTGAGTAATGGAAAATTAAACCCACATCTCTTCGCACAAAAGTCCACAAGCTTTTCACTATATTTTGATATGGTGCTCAACACTTGAGTTGGTTACCTTTTGTTTTAACCATTTCCTTGTTATTTTCAGAGAAATTCACTTGGTGGAGTCATTTACTTTCCTCCTTTTCCCAATCTCTCATTTGATTCCACTGTCCTCAAACTCCCACTCCTTTACATCACTAATTAAGCAATATGGTAAGCCCCCTTCTAGGGAAGAGTTTATGTTCTCATCACACACTACAGGAACCTTCACGGAAGTGGCATGAAAGGCTAAAGAGGAGTATCAGATTCCAGAACGCAAATTAAAGCTCTCTGACTCACTGATCTTGCAAAATGGCTTCCCATCCGGTCATATACAAAGTACGCCTGGCCACGATTTGGACAGCACCACATCAATTCCCAAGAAACTGACCATGAGAATCCCTGAATGTAGCCACATCTTCAAGGCCCTAGCCAGGACTTCACAAATAGAAAGTACTAAGACAATATTTCTGTCAATTCCTTGTCAGTCTCTACAACCAAAGGACTAACACTGAAGAGAAGAAGGATCTCAAGACTTTCTCCAAGACCAAGACAAACTTGAACAAAAGGAGAGCTGTTCCCAAAGAACGTCCTGGCCAAAAACTCATTAGAAGAGGTAAGGGTATTACTTAATACCCTCCCCACTTCTACATGTTAAATAAACATTTTTATTCCTCCTTTTGGTTAAAGGGTAATAAAATTAGCAAAATTTTTTCAAAGAAAGATGTCAGTATCATAAACACTGCTAGTTCATTTGTTTTGGGGTTTTTTCCTAAGAGGGTTTTTGGTTGTTGTTGTTGTTTGGTTTTGTTTTTTGGTGTACAACGTGTGTGCTCTCTGAAGACAAAGGGAAAGTAAGAAATCACCCCCAGGGGGGATGGCCATGCCCCTATCCCTTTTCCATCATTCTCCTCCCAGGATTTTGGGGCACACATGCACACAAGCCCAGCATGAGTTTCAAGTCACAGAGTCTGGGACTCAAAGCACAATTGGCCATGAGGGAGTCGAACAACATAACCGCTACGCCATCTGCTGGTCCCTATTTTGAGGGTTTTGTTAGTTTGCTATGGGGTGTGCACACTCACAGGGCAGGAGGGTGTTGTGGAGGAGAAAGTGAGATAATACCCACCCAGAGGGGATGGCCACGCTGCAATCCCTTCCCCTCCATTCTCCTCTCGGGATCTTGGGCACGCACACACACGCGCCCGGCGTGAGTTTTAAGCCACTGGGTCCGGGACGCGAACCACGGTCGACTACGTGAGAGTCCAGCGACATAGTCATTACGCTAACTGCTGGTTTCCGCAGAAAGCTTTTAAAATCTCACAAGGCCCTGAATATGTCTTAAATCAACATCCAGACTTAAGAAAAGGTAGAACAAAAAAGGCCTCTTCTCCCTTAAAAATGAATTCAATTCAAGCTGCTAAAAAAAAAGTTGACTCAAAAAAATATCGTAAGTCACATCTGTGGCCTATCATTAGATTTACCACTCTATATCATATTATCATTCTTATTATTAATTCCTAGATTTTGCATTAAAAATCTAGGTATACTAATATAACAAAATTTAAGTAATAAAAAATTTCTTAGATGTCACCAAATACATCTATCGGGTACAAATAAAATTGAATGGGACTTCAAAACACTGCATGTAAAAAAACTACCTCAGTATTACCTAATAATTCTAGAACACATAAACATTTTTTTCAAAACTTTATACTATCTCACGATTCTTTCCCAACAGTAAAGGTCTGTACTGCCACTCATTCTAATACTGTGAACACAGAACCTATGAAACACCAATGTTTTAATTCTACATACACAAATACCTAATATTCAAGTGTTGCTTAATACTATAAAAGGCTAAAATTTATGAAAAAAAAAATCAATGAAAAAATAATCAATGAAATTTTTTCAGAAATAAGCCTTTCATGCAAGTATGTTCGTTTTTTAAACCTTTATCCCAAGCACTCTTCTGAAACCTCCAATCAAGAACTTTTGTTCATAAATTAACTAAACTAGGGGCCAGCCTGTGGCAGTGGTTTAGGTAGTCTGATGTAATACGGCCGACCTCGTGGTTCAAGTCTTGAACCTGGCAGCTTGAGAGAAACACACTAGGCATGTGTATGTGCGTGCCCAAAACCCCAGAAGAGGGAAGAGATGGAGGAGAAAGGAATGCAGCATGACCATTCTACATAGGGGTGCTTTCCACCTCTCTCTTCTCTTTTCCACTTGCGTCCCCTCTCTTTCCCCCCATTCACTCTCTCCCTCTCCTCTCTCCTTCTCCCCCTCACCCTGCTATGAGCACATGCACCCTTTAGCAAGTTTTTTTAAAAAATAAAAACTACACTTAGTTCCAACAAGGATTCTTGATGAGCCCTGAGCTTCATTCAACAAAAAACATGCATATATATTAATACTCCAGGACACATAAATTCAAACTCCAGAGCTACACACAGGAAATTTTTTCAGATGCTAGGAAAGAAAAAATATCTAAAGTTTCTGTAGTAGTCTGCCTAGAAGAGCCACCATTCTACCTTTTTGACACCCACCCCCACTTTCACGGGTAGGTTGCCCTTCAAGATCCTTAATCCCAAGGTCATAACTAATCAGACCAATGATAGAAAACTAAACCAAGCTCAACCAATCAAATTTCCCCTCCCAGGAATCTGTAATTTGGACACCACCAATAATCAGTTGGCCAGTGGTATCAGAGTTCGAGTTTTACATGGCTCCAGGAATAAAGTGGCCATATTCCTCCATGTGTTTGTTAAAGGAGAAAAGGCCAGACAGCAGAAAGATATCAAAAACAGGACTAAGAGAGACAGGAAAAGACACTGCTTTGCCAGCTGGGAGAAAAGTGCCACGTAGTCCGCCATGGCTCCTGAGTGCTTCCAGTCTCTGCTTCCTGTCTCTCATGAACCCAATGCTCGTGGGCTCATCAAGGTACCTCAGCACCCCCACCCTCCCCAAACCATTCCTCTTCTCTTTTTTTTTATGATCATTAGAACAGTTTAAAATCCAACCTTACACCAGGATCAATGCATAAAGGGTATCTTAGTCTTATAAAGACTCTGAGAGGCACCAGAGACGTTTCTACTCACTATCCATAAGCTCAGAAGAAAGGATAGGACAAAAATAACTAAAACCTAAAAGCAAAAATCACCCATTAGAATAAATCCTGAGCTTTGTACGTCCCTCCCACACTTACCTGTTTGTAAGTTCTGCTGGTTCACAGCAGGAGGTTAGAGCAGACTTTGTTCAGGTCCTTTTAACACTGTAAATAACAAAAGTATTAATAAAAATTATCCAACAATCTCTTAGGAAACTTTCAAAGCATAGTTTTTCATTATGAATATACTGTACAGGAAGTGGTTTCCACACTTAGTGAAAATATTAGACTCACCTGGTATGTTTATTAACTAAATTCCCCAACATCTAGAGTCTCACCAGCTCTACGGTAATGTTCAAAAAAATTTTTTTAACAAAAATACCAAGTGATTCTGATGGAACTGACAAATGAATACCATTATAAAGTCCCAGAGAAGTGACTGAGTTTTTATTCAAAATCACATTATAGGGATTGGTATTAACTTTTAAAACCTATCTGATTTTTAAAAAAAAAAGGACAGCCGGCATTACAGCACTATGCCTCCTGTGGAAATAATCACTGAGCCCCCAGAAATATGACCACTGCCAGAATGTCCAAGAAGCAAAGCTCCAGGTGTGATTTCAATTGCAAAATCACAATCTGCTTCCGATGAGACACTTTCTTAAAGACCCACAGGACGGTGATATTTCAAGGAACAACAAGTGGGATAATATACAATAGCTTCAAGCGGTTTCTTAGCTAAAATTAAATGACACTCTAAACATTGCCACTAGCAAGTCACAAAAATAATTAAAACCAAGGCCAGACAATGGAGCAGCAAGAACGCGAGACCCACACAGAAGGTTCTGGGTAACTGTCCCAGTGCCCTCCTGTACACACTTGGCACATGCGTCCATGTCCATGATCTGGACTAGATAAGGCTGAGGCAGATTGTAACCCAAGGACCCAACTGGGGAGGCTCTCTTTCCATCCCTTTCTCTCTTATGAGAAAAATTTTTTTATGGAAAGGTTTTTGCTATAGGGCGCATGCGCTCACCAGAATGACAGAAAGAGACAGAAAGCAAGAAATCACCCCCCAAAGGGGACGGCCATGTCACAATCCCTTCTCCTCCATTCCCCTCTCGGGATCTTGGGCATGCTCGGCGTGAGTTTAAGCCACTGGGTCTGGGAATCAAACCGCGTTTGACTACATGGGAGTCCAGTGACATAGCCATTACACCAACTGCTGGTCCTGAGAAAAATAAACTTTTAAAAAATAATCAACGGTGACAACTTTATTAAGAGTAACCTGAGAAAGCCACTTTGTCTGATTTAATTTTGCAAAAAGACAGTCATGTTTTAATGCACAAAAGGTCATCTAACTTCACCCTCTACATTCCACTTTTGTTTAAGAGCAGAAGAAAAAGAAGGGAAAAACAGATAAAACAAATTGTTCTATGGGCCTAACTCAAGAGAATAAGCTCCAAAGTGTCTCCTACTGTAAGTCCAAATTAAGTCCAAATTAATGAAACTGTGTAGTTAACAAGAAAATACTGTTTCTTGCTTAATTACTTGAAATCAGTTAATAATCTGGAAATATTTTTATAAAATGAGGTTTGGCTACACAGGGAAAACTAAATTGTACTCCTCTTTTCCCTCAATCTCACACAAAATGATAGGCAGGTTAGCAAAGGTATCATTCTACATTGCTACATAACTAATCTAGTATATTTCCCATTCATGTGAGAGCACAACGAAATGGAAAAACAAAATTTGGTCAAGAATACTGGGATTGGGGGAACCAGCAGTTAGCGTAATGGTTATGTCGCTGGACTCCCATGTAGTCGACCACGGTTCGTGTCCCGGACCCGGTGGCTTAAAACTCACGCCGGGCACGTGTGCGTGCGTGCCCAAGATCCCGAGAGGAGAATGGAGGAGAAGGGATTGCGGCGTGACCATCCCCCCTGGGGGGTGATTTCTCGCTTTCTGTCTCTATGTCTCTCTCTGTCTGTCTGGCGAGCGCACGTGCCCTACAGTGAAAATCTCTCCCGAAAAAAAAAAAAAAGAATACTGGGATTGGGAACCAGCAGTTAGCGTAATGGCTATGTTGCTGGACTCCCACATAGTCGACCGCGGTTCGTGTCCCGGACCCAGTGGCTTAAAACTCACGCCGGGCGCGTGTGCGTGCGTGCCCAAGATCCCGAGAGGAGAATGGAGAAGGGATTGCGGCGTGACCATCCCCCCTGGGGGGTGATTTCTCGCTTTCTGTCTCTATGTCTCTCTCTGTCTGTCTGGCGAGCGCAAGCGCCCTATAGCAAAAACCTCTCAAAAAAAAAAAAAAGAATACTGGGATTCTGTGCTGGCCCGTAGCCCAGTGGTTAAGCCAAATCCTACATGGTTAACCAGTCTGAATTCCAGTCCCAGCAACTCGAAACATAGCAGGTGCATGCATGTCCAAAATATCGTCTGGATGGAGAGACGGGAGAAAAAAAGATTATGGTATGATCACAACCCTCGGGGGGGAAGATGCCTTCTCCCACTCTCTCTTACTAGCAAGTGTGCTCACCCTCTGACAACTAAAAAAAAAGAAAAAGAAAAAAAGGACCAACCAGTGGTGGTGTGGTTACAGCAGCTAGATGCCACATAGCTATGAGGTTCAAGTCCCAGCCCTGGCAGCTTGAAAAACATGCAAGGTGTGTGGGCATACCAGCCCACAATCCCAAGAGGAAAATGGAGAAGGGATTGTGGTATTGCCATCCCCTGCAAGGCGATGCTCTCACGTTCTCTCTCCCCTAACAAGCACACACGCCCTGTAGCAAATTTTAAAAATACTGAGAATCTAACTATATATAAAATCAAAATTACTCATGAAAATTAAACCTCCTTATAAAGAGAGGTAATGGAAACCCTAAAGCTTCATTACCATAAAACCCTAGTGGGAGCAGGTTCAGACTTTTACAATGACCAAAGAATGTTAAGGCAATTCAAACTGTTGAAATAAAATGGATATTTTTTTTGTTGGAGAAAGATTTTTGGTATAGGGTGTGTGCAATCACCATAGAGATAGAGACACACAGAGAGACAGAAAGCAAGAAATCACCCGCAGGAGGGATGGCCATGCCACAATTCCTCCTCCCCCATTCTCCTCTCAGGATTCTGGGCATGCACACACATGCACCAGCATGAGTTTCAAACTTCCAGGTCTGGGATTCAAACCACATTGAACTATGTGGGAGTCCAGCAACATAATCATTACATCATCTACTGGGCCCAAAGTAAAACAGACATTTAACTTGCCTCTAAGATACCAGGATTAACACCTACACAGACTGTAGATGCAACCTAGTGAGACTGGTCCCACTGTAATCTGTAAGAAATAAAACTAAACAGGGACCAGAAGTTAGCATAATGGCTATGTCGCTGGACTCCCACATAGTCGACCATGGTTCGCGTCCTGGACCCGGTGGCTTAAAACTCATGCCGGGCGCGTGTGCGTGCGTGCCCAAGATCCCGAGAGGAAAATGGAGGAGAAGGGATTGTGGCGTGACAATCCCCCCTGGGGGGTGATTTCTCGCTTTCTGTCTCTATGTCTCTGTCTGTCTAGCTGGCGAGCGCACAAGCCCTATAGCAAAAACTTCTCAAAAAAAAAAAAAAAAAAAAAAAAAAAAAAAAAAAAAGAAAAAGAAAGAAAACAAAACAGAAAGTACGGAAATTTAACCAGCAGGGGCTAAGGAAGAATTGCAAACCAAGTCAGCATTTGAAAATAGCACCAATCAGGCCAGCAGAGGGCGTGGAGGTTAGGGCACTGGAACCCACATGGCCAATTACACCATAGTCTTCGACCTGTTATCTGAAAGATCACACGGGGCACATGTATATATGTGCCCCAAATCCCAAGAGACTGGAGGACAAGGTTCTGCAGCACGTTCATCCCCCAATCTCGGGAGTGACTTCTCTTTCTCTCTCTATCTCATGAGCACATAGAATATATACCAAACCAAAAACAAACACACACAAATTTTTTAAAAAGAACACATCAAAGATCATTTAAAAGGATAAGGGTAAAAGGAACAGTGGTAGAACCAGCAGATCAGCAGGTAGCGTGGTGGTTAAGGCACTGGACTCCCACATGGCCAACGATAGTTCAAGTCCCAAACTCGACAACTTGAAATTCACGCCAGGCGCATGTGTGTGCATGCCCAAAATCCCAAGAGAAGAATAGAGGGGACTGAAATATGGCCATCCCTTCTGAGGGATTTCTTACGTCCCCTCTGTCTCTTTCCAGCGCATACACGCCCTATAGCAAAAACCTGGGGGGGAAAAAAAGGGACGGTGATGAATTTTACACCCCAAACGGTTTTCACTCAGATAACAATCACTGTTGACAGTGTCATCTTCTAATATGAAAGTCAGCAAAAAGAGATGTGTGGAGTATTAAAATGCAGTCTTAAAAACAAATGAGCTGATACAACTTCAAAGACATTATAATTTGGGACTGTCATTTCAAAAATTAAACAAATGAACAGAGAAGAAAGGCAACTGGTTAAAACACTACCTAATCACACCCTGCACTGCCTCCTTTCAGCCAAGGAGTTCCATTCACCTCCTGACCTTGTCACTTTTATTGTGTCATGATTTTGAGGCAAATATTTTTCATATATGCAACTCATGAGCAAAAGCATTTCAAGATCAAAATGAGATACCTCAGGTGAACCAAACTGCCAGAAGACATCTATGAAAGCTCAGAATAAGAATACTGGCCCGGCCATGGCAGTGTATGCTGGATACTGCTGCTGGGCAGGCTGAGGCCATGTGAGAGCCAGACTTGACTCAAAGATCGCCCTAAAAAGCCAAGTACAGTGGCATGTGCCTACAGTCCCACTACCCAGGAGGCTGAGACGGGGGAATTAAGAGCTCTCAGCCAGCTTACAGCCCAGCTATTCAGAAGCTAAGGCAGAAGGATTGAGAGCGCTTGGCCAGCGTGGGAAATGAAGCAAAATCCAGTCTGAATGAGCCAGGCCTGGTGCCACAGGCCTGCGGTCCCAGCCAGTAAGGAGGCTGAGGCAAGAGAGTGAGACAGAGGGAGACTTTGTCTAATGGACTACCACACACACACGTGAACACATATGTGAGCACACACATACTCAGAAAAGCATATGAAAATAAACTGTAAGAAAATCAGAAATTTTTCCTCTTTTATTTTTTTTTTTGGGGGGGGGGGGCTTTTGCTATAGGACACTTGCTCTTGCCAGAAAGACAGAGACAGAAAGCGAGAAATCACCCCCCAGGGGGAAGGGCCACATCGCAATCCGTTCTCCTCCATTCTCCTCTTGGGGTCCTGAGCACACATGCCCAGCATGAGTTTAAAACACCAGGTCTGGGATTCGAACCACAGTCAACTACCTGGGAGTCCAGCAACAGAGCCATTACGCCAACTGCTGGTCCCAGAAAATTTTAATTTAAAAAAAAAAACAGTTTAGGGAACCAGCAGTTAGCGTAATGGCTATGTCGCTGGACTCCCACGTAGTCGACTGCGGTTCACGTCCCGGACCCGGTGGCTTAAAACTCACGCCGGGCGTGTGTGCGTGCATGCTCAAGATCCCGAGAGGAGAATGGAGAAGGGATTGCGGCGTGACCATCCCCTCTGGGGGGTGATTTCTCCCTTTCTGTCTCTATGTCTCTCTCTGTCTGTCTGGCAAGCGCACGCGCCCTATAGCAAAAAACCTCTCAAAAAAAAAAATAGTTTAAATATATTAGAAAAACAGTCTGAGAGACAGAAATGGAGGGGAAAAAAAGCTCAGCTCAAAAATTAAAATGCTATAAGCAATACCATATAAACTTAAGTTGGTTTAAGAGTCCCTAAAGTATTTAAAACTAGGCCATGGGCCCACCACATAGGATAGCAGTTAGGAACTATGGAGAGAGAGCCTGATTGCATACAGGTGACCACTGTTCGAATCCCAGCTCCAGAGGCCTGAAAAATACCAGGTACAAGCACAAAATAGTAGTGAAACATGACCATGCCCCATGGAGGGGGCCTCATTCTCACTGGCTTTCTCACACCCTCACTGTCCCTCTCTCACACACCCAATGTATGAGCTCATGCACCCTCCAGCATTCAGTGGAAAAATAACCAGGCTGTTGCCTAGTGGTTAAGGGAGCTAGATCCCACATGGATGACAAAGTGGTTTGAATCCTGGCCCCAGCCACTTGAAAAATACACAGGATGTGTGTGCATACATGTCCCAAATCCCCCCCACAGGATGAAGAAATGGAGAAGGAAGAGCAGAAGGACCACACCCCACTGGGGAGCACGCTCTTCTCCCTCGTACACTCATTCCACCTTTTCCCAGAATATATTCCTTAATCATCTGTGTCTAAACCTGAAAAGATATTCCTCATTTTCCCATATTTTCAGATACTCTGAAATTTCCTAAGATCACCTTCTTCAAATGCCATGACTTTTTGGGAAATGCTTTCAGGCAGCTAGCATCAATCACATTTTTTTTTTGGCAATTGTTTTCTTTTTGGTAGGCTAGATACATGCACTCATGAGCATACAAATGCGAGAGCAGGCAGCACCCTCAACCAGGTCTGGTCCTGTTGTGACCCCTGGCCTTAGCCCTCTGGCTCCTCGGGGTCCTGGGTGCCTTTGTGCCCATGTGCATTTTCAAGCCCAGATGGAGATCCAAACCTGCAGCCAGCCTTATGCTTTCCAGCTGTGTAGCACACTTTGGTTCCTGCTACTTCCCAGCAGCTGGGCCAACTTCTAGTTTTAAGAAAGATAATTTTGGGAACCAGCAGTTATCGTAATGGCTATGTCGCTGGACTCCCACGTAGTTGACCACGGTTCGCGTCCCGGACCCAGTGGCTTAAAAGTCACGCCGGGCGTGTGTGCATGCGTGCCCAAGATCCCGAGAGGAAAATGGAGGAGAAGGGATTGCGGCATGACCATGCCCCCTGGGGGGTGATTTCTCACTTTCTGTCTCTATGTCTCTCTGTCTGGCGAGCGCACGCGCCCTATAGCGAAAATCTCTCAAAAAAGAAAAAAAAAAAAAAGATCATTTTTTCTGGGACCAGCAATTAGCATAATGGCTATGTCGCTGGACTCCCATGTAGCTGACCACGGTTCAAGTCCCAGACCCAGTGGCTTAAACTCACGCCGGGCACATGTGCATGCATGCCCAAGATCCCGAGAGGAGAATGGAGAAGGGATTGTGGCATGGCTATTCCCCCTGGGGGGTGATTTCTCGCTTTCTGTCTCTCTGTCTGTCTCTGTCTGGCAAGCACACGCGCCCTAAAGCAAAAACCTCTCAAAAAAAAAAAGAAAAAGAGAGATAATTTTTCTAATGCCCAGGAAATACAATTTTCTAAAATATATATAAGCATCCTGAATTTTTTTTTCCAAACTGGAGATGAAGAGGAGGGTCATGTATAGGGCAAGGGGGCTGGGGATGCTGGCCAAATCTGATGAGAAATCTGACTTCCTTTCTAAGAGTCACAAGAGAGAAGGAAAAAGATTCCAGGAAAGGGCATAATCTGTCTTCCTAGTACCAAGGAGACAGGTAGGTATACATTGCCTACCAGCCTCCCTCTCACCCCTGCCTTATGCTGACCTCACGCTTTTCCTAGCCTATACCAAAGCATAGCTAAGCACTCCTTTTTTTTAAGAGATTTTTGCTATGGGGCACCCACACTCTCTGGAGAGACAAAAAGTGAGAAATCGTCCCCAAGAGGGAATGGCCACACCACAATCCCTTCTCGTCCATTCTCCTCCCAGGATCTTGGGCACAGGCGGCTGGCGTGAGTTTTAAGCCACTGGGTCTGGGACTCAAATTGCAGTGGACTACGTGGGAGTCCAGCGACGTGACCATTACGCCATCTGCTGGTCCCCCTCTGCTGGTCCCCCTCGACACTCCTAACTCCGCTTTTGTCTCAAGATGTTTGCCCATGCTGCGCCCTGGCCTGGAGCACTCATCCCCACACAGCTGGAGGAACAGAACTTTTATCTGTCCCGTCTTTCCTTCAATGTTAGCTTTTCTAACATTGAATGTTCAGGCCTTCTCAGGGCACTGAACTTCAAATTAACCATGAACCCCTCCTTCCTACTTGCTATTTCCTTCTCTCATCCCATTCCCCCATGTTACTTACCACTGCACTACATAGCTGACCTAAGTATTTATCTGCCTCGAAATGAGCTGAAGACAGGAATTTTTGGTTTTTCTCCGTGTTCTAAGAGCTCAGTATATGTCAAATAGATGAATGCATGGCTGAATGAGCAAATAAATCAATGTAAACACATGGTCTCTTCTTTCCCTCCCCAGCCTAGAAAGTCTAAAATATCTTGTCAAGAATCAAAAAAGTGTGAAGCCTTTTCCTTTCCAGGGAATCACTACCACCATCAGTGGATTGCTGGGTGTTGCATGTCAAAGAAGGATCAATGAAACAGTTTTGCAGATACATGCCTTTTTCATTTTTTCCTAGTGTCCTCTTCTGATGTAACAGAAAGTACATATTACAGTTTGAGCACCCCCAAAACTGCACACAAATTGGTAAGATACATAAAAATATGAGCAAGTGAAAGCACTGTATCCGAACCGCAATGGACAAACTCCATAAGGCCCACTGCGTGTATCAGAAAGATGACTGAACCTACAGAAAGAATGACCAAAAAAATTTTCCAGATGGGAAGCTATTCACAGGTTACTCAATTTATTGCAAGTTTAGAGGGAATACTTACCTTTCTTAGAGACTAGGTGTGTTTAAGTGCTTTGACTTTCAGGAAAATGGAAGAAAAAAAGAAGTACTAGGTGAACGTAAAGGCTACTGCTTCCCAAACACGGTCCCACAACCTGCTCCTCATACCCCCCTGCCCTGCCCAGTGACTTATGTTCCAGACACAAAACTGAACTATTTGGAGTGCTTCGTGGGAAACTGCTGACTGAAGGCTCAGGGCCATTTCAACCTGATGTGAACGTTGGGGTCCCCAGGTTTCCAAGGCTCCACTTGCCCAGCCACGGTCCCCGGTTCCGATCACGGCTGCACCTCGTCTCGGGCCTGGTCCAGACCCAGTCCTCTCGCCAGGAAGGAGTCTCCCCCGTCCAGATGCTCCGTGGGGAAGGCAAGGGCGCACCTCCCAGGGGCCAGCTGTGGGCAGCAGGGCCCGCAGGCACAGCTGTCTGAATGCAGCAGCTGTTCCCCGGGGCACCCCGAGCTGGCCGGGGGCAGACCCCGCCACCCGAGGGGCAGGGAGCGGAAGGCGAGCCTCTGGCCCCCAGCGGCCGGTCTGACATGCCCCCCCCACCACCCTCCTC